GTGGCCTCCCAATCTCCACCCGGAGGAGCTGAGAACTCGGGGCCCCGTTCCTCAGTGCGCCCCCAGAGAAAAGCAGTCACTCCCGTCTCCCCGGTCTCCGGCCGCACTCCGTGCTCACCCGGCCTGTGACCGAGCGTTTCTATCTCTGGCACCCGACCCCGTGTTGGGTGTCCAAACCCAGCAGATCCCTGCGGTGCGTTCCCGTGCCGCTCCTCCCCGGGAAGGAAGGGGAGTCTCCCCAGCTCTGTCGCTTGTTGGGTCCCTGTTGCAGGAGCAGTGGCCCAACTGGGCCGCAGATCACAGTTTATGGCAACCCCGAGCTGAGAGCCCACGCCTCAGCTCCGTCTCTGCAGCCGGCTTCCCCGCTCCGATACCTGGGAGCTCTGGCGCACTTGGGCACCCCCGGTCTTTCTGTGACCCCAAGGGTCCTGAGACCACACTGTCCCGGGAGGATTCCACCCCCTGCTTAGCCACTGCAGCGACGTCCCTCAGCGGAGCCGACTTCTAAAAGTTCCAATTTTGTGCTCCGCGGCTCTATCACTTGCCAGAAGTGGACAGCATAAGCCCCTCCCCCGCCATCTATCCTCTCGAATATCGCCTCGGATTCACTTCTCCGCACGTCCTACCTTCCAGTAAGTGGTCGCTTCTCTGTTCAGAGAGTTGTTGCTACTCTCTTGTTCGATCTCCTGTTGAGTTCGTAGGTGTCCAGAATGGTTTGATCCCTATTCAGCTGAATTCCTGAGACCAGACGAAATCTAGGTCTCCTACTTCTCCGCCATCTTGCTCCGCTCCCAAGAAATCAGCACATTTTTAAAAACTTACTTTCCCAAGGGGCTGGAGAGTAAATATTTTAGGCTTTGCAGGCCATATGGTCTCTGTTACAACTACTGAACTTTGCTGTTGCAATGCTAAAGTAGCCATAGACAGAACATAAATGAATAGGTATGGCTGTGTTTTAATAAAACTTATTTACAAAAACAGGTGCGTGGGCCAGAGATTGCAAACCCTGGTTTAAATAATCATGATACAGCCATATGTCTTTGTAAAGATTTCTACAGAGACATAGAGACAACATGCATCAAACTGTACTATCAGTAGTTACAAAAACCATATTTACCTGAGGCAGCTGTTTGGCAATATCTCCACCTACAAAGACAGCTTCAAGATAAACCCAAAGGTTCTGGACTACTAGCCACTCTTCAATTATATCTGAGGAAGTAGACAATTTATACACCCAATTCTGGATAGTTTTTTTAAATGGCGCATTATATCTGAAAGTAAAAATGGAAAAATATTATATTTTAAGGATGATGCAGAAAATAATATGGCCTAATAAAGTAAATTAGAGGAGAAACATTCCTTTGAAAGTGAACTTTTTTTTTTCCTAAAAGGCAGTTCCTAATAAATTTCACACAGCTAATGAGATATTTGCTTTTCTAGGAGTAAAACTCGTATCATTATAGCGATTTTACTTGTTTCTATGCATGAGTCACAGACCAGGAAGATGAGCCAAGTTTTGTGACATGGAGGTCCAGCAAAGGAATTGTGCTGGTTGTTTCTGGGATGGAAGGGAACACATGGGAAAAGGTGCTTTTACAAGACTTCTGTGAACCAAATCCAAGTGAGCACTGCCTGCAAGAGTAACACGTAGAACACTGTTCCTGGTCTGTGAAACTATTACAACAAGGCCAATGTCAAGATTGAGGGTTGATGTCCACCTATAGATGTGCTCTTCTCACCCACAGACTGCTAATTCCACCAGGCACTGTGCCTAGATTCTACAGTGTTAGAGATCCAGAACAGTTGCCCCCAAATAACATGCTTCCTGTTTTCTCAACATCAGAGCTAGCTGCAGAGTTCGTGAGAATTCGAGGTGTCCAGAAAGCTGGGCACAGCGAAGAAAGACAAAAAAATACAGGGGATGTCATGCAAGAAGTGATGGGAAGCTACTGGGTAAAGACCCAATTTCCTACAGTTGGACTAAGAAGCTGACTTCAGTTTGTGGCAATGACAAGTAGGTTCGATGTGGTGTAGTGACATTGCTGGTGAGTGGCACTTACTGACAAGGTTCTTCAAACTTTTCTGGATCCAGGGAAGGGTGACTTGATGGTGCTCACATATATAAGGGGGTTCTTCTGGGTATACTCTGACAGCTGAATGCAACCCATAACTTCTCTAGAAGCCTATGCTATACACGGAGGTATAAAGGGAGTTATGTAAAAAATTGCCCCAAGGAGATAGGTGAGCTATTCAGGCAGTAAGAAGCATTTGACTCAACACCCAATTTACACTGTCCATCTGACCATCATTCTAGAGCTGAAAGGAAGTCAGTATGTTAAAAGCATCTTCAAAATTAAGACATGCACACTAAGATGGGCACTTCAGGGGGCTGAAGCACCTAGATATTTGAGGCCAAAAATGGCCTTGCATGGAGGGAAAAAAGAGTCATCTTTGATGGCATATGACTTCCCAACATGAAAAAGGGAGATTTGAAATAAGATCTAGCATAACCAGTTTCTGTCCTTTGGTCATTGCATAACTTTGCATGGTGGAACCTGTCCTGATTGTTAGGCATTCCTATGGATCAATCGAGAATCCACTAGCAAAGTGTCACCATCCAGGCAATATCTGGAGTCAAGTCTCACCCATGGAGATATACAATTTACTCCTGAAGTCACATCCAGGTAGCCCTAGAGACCCCGCAGGCAATGCCTCGGCATTGAGTTTACTAGTACTATAAATAAGTATTATACTAATCAGGCTAAATCCAAATTAAATATGAAACTAAGAAAGCCTTCAAATCCTGAATTCACTGGCTAGAGATACTGTTCAGGTGAATTTACAGCCTTTCTTCAAGAGGTCATCATTCAGGAAATCAGCATGGCAAAATTTGCTATGAACCATGGAAACAGTATCCCATAAAGTCTGAGAACCACTGAATATCCTATGGTCACCTTTGCCAGAATTATTCAGATTCCCTGAAAGCAGAAGATGTACGTAGGATTTTAACCCCAGAAAGTCAACCCAGAACTCCCAGAGCTAGGAGCTTTGGAATTGTACATTATCCAAATGCAAGACTGCCTTTGGGGCCAGAGGCCATGCAGAATATCATTTATTAACCAGCGATCCCAACCTAGAGAAGGTATATTAGAATTCCCATGCACTCCAGACATTGATTCTGCTAATGATGAGGTTGTGACATATTTCTTAGGTGTGTTAAAGTGAAGAACGGTTGAGAATTACTGCGAAGTCAGCTAGGGGATTAGAGGTTGCTAATGCTCACATTAAGACCTGACAGTATACTTAATCTGAGTCCCATTTCCAAAAGCTGCACTCAAGGTCACAGTCACCTTCCAGTTGGTTCAGTAATCCAATGATGGATAGGTCATCTTACTTAGGGCACAGTAAACCCAGCACACATATAGCCACTTTTCCCCATAAAAAAATGCATGAAGTGTTTATGTAACAAGCCCCTAATAATATATTCCTTTCATGTGTTGCCAGCATACTTTTCCTGGGTCATTGGGTGAACAGTTGAGCAGGGTTGGGCAAGGAGGGCAAAGATGACATATTGGAGGAACCAAAGAGAAAGAAAATAAAATGAATAGGTCATCTCAGTGGGGACCCAAGATGTTTAAGAGATAAGCTGCCAATTTGGGGGAGAGTAATTATGATGGTGCCTACCAAAAAAACAGTAAGAAGAGATGGGTACCATAAGGAAGAGACAGAGAACATGACTGTTAGGGAAAATGGGTAGCTCATTTAAGGACAGACAAGAGTGAGCACTTTAGGTCAGAATCTTTTGTTATACCACAGCTGCAAAACTGGGCTTTCACTTAGTATTATATAACCCTAAAAACCAAATTAAAACCATCCCCCCAAAGTATAAAATTACCTGTTGCTTAGTAAGGAACCTAAGACCATTAAACTATCCTCCATCAAGGAGATAATTTCTCCCGATTCAGTTCCTTTGAGAAGGAGCTCTCCTTTACCCTTAAATGCTGCAAAACTCAGGTTCTGGTTGGTCCAATTTTCAATCACCTGAGTCAGCTTGGCTTCAATATCCTTCTCCTTAATGGCAGATATGCAAATATCCTTCAGAGGGAGATCAAAGAATATGTCATGACATTTTCAATTACAAATTAAGTGCCTTAAAAAATCATAGAATTTTCTAGCTTGAACCTAGAAGTCATTTAGTCATTTTGTGGCCAAGGAAACCAAAGCTCATGATCATCATGTTATAAGTTCAAACCAGAACCTTCTGACCATCTGACTACTAATTTTTTTATGGTACCATATACACGCAATAACAGAACTTAAATCTTCATGTTTCTTCATTTAATTTTTAACTGGAGGTTTTTGGCCAAGATGGAGATGATAACAGCTGCTCTACCTCAGCAGGTTGTTATGAGAAACAAGGGAGGATATATGTGGGGAGTCCTTTGAACTCTTCAAAGTAACATAGAATCATTGCTGTATTCCAGCTTGCTCTGGCCCTAATATGAATATCTCATTTGCTTAAAAGTCATTCTATTTTTTTTCTCACAGGTTTTCCCGTTTTTCTGAGGGTCCTTGATATGAGAGTCTCACAAGGGAAAATAAAAGTAATGTATTTTCCCTACCAGGCCTCTATTTATTTTCATACTTAGAATCACAGATCTCAGAGATGGGAAGGAATCGAAAGGTACAGGTATTTCCACAAATAATTATAATACCAAGTAGCATGTAATCAATGTCCTCAGAATGTTATGACTTGTTGTGAATTCTGAAGAGGGAGAAAGGACTTCTGCCCGCAGTCAGGAGGAAAGGCCTCACTGAGGAGGGAGCAGCTGAGACTGAGTGGGATTCCAGTGGGTGGTGGGGGCAGACATTTTACAGTGAGGGGAAAGAGTTCCTTTAGAGGCAGTGAGTCCAGGGACAGAAGGAATCCAGCTTGGCTAATGGCAAGACATGCGGAACAGAGCAAACAGGATGCACAGGCATAAACAGTGCTGAGGATCTGTTTTGGGGTACAAATAGTTACTGAACCCTGGAATTCCTTGGAATTATAGAATGAAGTTTTCAAAACACAGCTTATAAATGGCTATATTCTTTTATTTTTTTATTTTTTTATGGTTATGTTAATCATCATATATTACATCATTAGTTTTTGATGTACTGTTCCATGATTCATTGTTTGTGCATAACACCCAGTGCTCCACGCAGAATGTGCCCTCCTTAATACCCATCACCAGGCTAACCCATCCCCCTACGCTCCTTCCCTCTAGAACCCTCAGTTAGTTTTTCAGAGTCCCTCATCTCTCATGGTTCATCTCCCCCTCTGACTTACTCCCCTTCATTCTTCCCCTCCTGCTATCTTCTTTTCTTTTTTCTTAACATATGTTGCATTATTTGTTTCAGAAGTACAGATCTGTGATTCAACAGTCTTGCACAATTCACAGTGCCCACCATAGCACAACCCTACCCAATGTCTATCACCCAGCCACCCCATCCCTCCCACCCCCCCACCACTCCAGCAACCCTCAGTTTGTTTCCTGAGATTAAGAATTCTTCAGATCAGTGAGGTCATAGGATACATGTCTTTCTCTGATTGACTTATTTCACTCAGCATAACACCCTCCAGTTGCATCCACGTCGTTGCAAATGGCAAGATCTCATTCCTTTTAATGGCTGCATAATATTCCACTGTGTATATAAACCACATCTTCTTTATCCATTCATCTGTCGATGGACATCTTGGCTCTTTCCACAGTTTGGCTATTGTGGACAATGCTGCTATAAACATTGGGGTGCAGGTACCCCTTCGGATCCCTACATTTGTATCTTTGGGGTAAATACCCAGTAGTGCAATTGCTGGATCATGTGGTAGCTCTATTTTCAACTGTTTGAGGAACCTCCATACTGTTTTCCAGAGGGGTTGCACCAGCTTGCATTCCCACCAACAATGTAGGAGGGTTCCCCTTTCTCCACATCCCTGCCAACATCTGTCATTCCCTGACTTGTTAATTTTAGCCATTCGGACGGGTGTGAGGTGGTATCTCATTGAGGTTTTGATTTGGATCTCCCTGATGCCCAGCGATGTTGACCACTTTTTCATGTGTCTGTTGGCCATTTGGATGTCTTCTTTGGAAAAATGTCTGTTCGTGTCTTCTGCCCATTTCTTGATTGGATTATTTGTTTTTTGGGTGTTGAGTTTGATAAGTTCTTTAAAGATTTTGGATACTAGCCCTTTATCTGATATGTCATTTGCAAATATTTTCTCCCATTCTGTCGGTTGTCTTTTGGTTTTGTGGACTGTTTCTTTTGCTGTGCAAAAGCTTTTTATCTTGATGAAGTCCCAATAGTTCATTTTTGCCCTTGCTTCCCTTGCCTTTGGCGATGTTTCTAGGAAGAAGTTGCTGCGGCTGAGGTCGAAGAGGTTGCTACCTGTGTCCTCCTTTAGGATTTTGATGGACTCCTGTCTCACGTTTAGGTCTTTCAACCATTTGGAGGCTATTTTAGTGTGTGGTGTAAGGAAATGGTCCAGTTTCATTCTTCTGCATGTGGCTGTCCAATTTTCCCAACACCATTTGTTGAAGAGACTGTCTTTTTGCCATGGACATTCTTTCCTGCTTTATCAAAGATAAGTTGACCTTAGAGTTGAGGGTCCATTTCTGGGCTCTCTATTCTGTTCCATTGATCTATCTGTCTGTTTTTGTGCCAGTACCATACTGTCTTCATGATGACAGCTTTGTAATAGAGCTGGAAGTCTGGAATTGTGATGCCGCCAGCTTTGCTTTTCTTTTTCAACATTCCTCTGGCTATGCGGGGTCTTTTCTGGTTCCATACAAATTTTAGGATTATTTGTTCCATTTCTTTAAAAACAGTGGACGGTATTTTGATGGGGATTGCATTGAATGTGTAGATTGCTCTAGGTAGCATTGACATCTTCACAACGTTGGTTCTCCCAATCCATGAGCATGGAACGTTTTTCCATTTCTTTGTGTCTTCTTCAATTTCTTTCATGAGTATTTTATAGTTTTTTGAGTACAGATCCTTTGCCTCTTTGGTTAGATTCATTTTAGGTATCTTATGGTTTTGGGTGCCATTGTAAATGGGATCGACTCCTTGATTTGTCTCTCTTCTGTCTTGTTGTTGGTGTATAGGAATGCCACTGATTTCTGTGCATTGATTTTATATCCTGCTACTTTACTGAATTCCTGTATGAGTTCTAGCAGTTTTGGGGTGGAGTCTTTTGGGTTTTCCACATACAGTATCATATCATCTGCAAAGAGTGACAGTTTGACTTCCTCTTTTCCGATTTGGATGCCTTTGATTTCTTTTTGTTGTCTGATTGCTGTGGCTAGGACTTCTAATACTATGTTGAATAGCAGTGGTGAGAGTGGACATCCCTGCCGAGTTCCTGACCTTAGGGGAAAAGGTCTCAGCCTTTCCCCATTGAGAATGATATTCGCTGTGGGTTTTTCATAGATGGCTTTTATGATATTGAGGTATGTACCCTCTAACCCTATTCTCTGAAGAGTTTTGATCAAGAAAGGATGCTGTACTTTGTCAAATGCTTTTTCTGCATCTATTGAGAGGATCATATGATTCTTGTTCTTTCTTTTGTTAATGTATCGTATCACGTTGATTGATTTGCAGATGTTGAACCATCCCTGCAGCCCAGGGATAAATCCCACTTGGTCATGGTGAATAATCCTTTTAATGTACTGTTGGATCCTAGTGGCTAGTATTTTGGTGAGAATTTTTGCATCCATGTTCATCAAGGACCCTTTTTGATGGGGTCTTTGTCTGGTTTTGGGATCAAGGTAATGGTGGCCTCATAAAATGAGTTTGGAAGTTTTCCTTCCATTTCTGTTTTTTGGAACAGTTTCAGGAGAATAGGTATTAATTCTTCTTGAAATGTCTGATAGAATTCCCCTGGGAAGCCATCTGGCCCTGGGCTTTTGTTTGTTGGGAGATTTTTGATGACTGCTTCAATTTCCTTAGTGGCTATAGGTCTGTTCAGGTTTTCTATTTCTTCCTGGTTCAATTTTGGTAGTTGATACATCTCTAGGAATGCACCCATTTCTTCCAGGTGATCTAATTTGCTGGCATAGAGTTGCTCATAATATGCTCTTATAATTGTTTGTATTTCTTTGGTATTGGTTGGGATCTCTCCACTTTCATTCATGATTTTGTTGATCTGGGTCATTTCTCTTTTCTTTTTGATAAGTCTGGCCAGGGGTTTATCAATCTTGTTAATTCTTTCAAAGAACCAGCTCCTAGTTTCGTTAATCTGTTCCTCTGTTCTTTGGTTTCTAGGTCATTGATTTCTGCTCTGATCTTTATTACTTCTCTTCTCCTGCTGGGTTTAGGCTTTATTTGCTGTTTTTCTCCAGCGCCTTTAGGGGTAGGGTTAGGTTATGTATTTGAGACCTTTCTTGTTTCTTGAGAAAGGCTTGTATTGCTATATACTTTCCTCTCAGGACTGCCTTTGCTGCATCCCAATTTTTTTTTTAAGATTTTATTTATTTATTCATGACAGACAGACAGACAGACAGAGAGAGAGAAGCAGAGGGAGAAGCAGGCTCCCAAGGAGCAGGGAGCCTGATGCAGGACTCGATCCCAGGACCCTGGGATCATGACCTGAGCCGAAGGCAGACGCTTAACCATCTGAGCCACCCAGGCGCCCTGCACCCCAAAGATTTTGAACAGTTGTGTTTTCATTTTCATTGGTTTCCATGAATTTGTTTAATTCTTCTTTAATTTCCTGGTTGACCCATTCATTCTTTAGTAGGATGCTCTTTAGCCTCCATGTATTTGAGTTCTTTCCGACTTTCCTCTTGTGATTGAGTCCTAGTTTCAAAGCATTGTGGTCTGAAAATATGCAGGGAATGATCCCAATCTTTTGGTACCGGTTGAGACCTGATTTGTGACCTAGGATGTGATCAATTCTGGAGAATGTTCCATGGGCACTAGAGAAGAATGTGTATTCCGTTGCTTTGGGATGGAATGTTCTGAATATGTCTGTGAAGTCCATTTGGTCCAGTGTGTCATTTAAAGTCTCTATTATAAATGGCTATATTCTTAAGTGTAAAACCTACCTATAAGAA